ATAAACTCTGAACGAGTGCAGTCAGTTTAGCAATAGAAAACACACAACACACACACACACACAGACCCTATATACATATAAATAAGGCATAAAATTGTAACGAAATAAATATAGATATGTACATATATAATATATATATTTATCGAATAAAAATGAATTTAGCATGTTTCATTGTTATTATCATCTTATATATATTCAACATTGTTACTTCTATTACATTGTATTAATGTGTAACTATACGTTTATAAGTTGATTGCGTTATCTCTTGAATCATATTTAAAATAGATCTTCCTAACTGGGAGAACAATTTTATTAAAGAAAGAATTTACGTCAAGCCCAATTACGTGACTCGATATTTGTGCCAGGAGACTGATCACATGTTAATTTTATGTGAAACTTTTCGCTTTTCGCTCTATCTATTCTGCACGAACTTTTTTATTATTTTTACGATCACGTTTCCACGTTTCGTCCAGTTACATGATCATGAGTTCACATAAAACTTTTCATTTTTCACGTTTTTGCCCTAAGAAAAAAAGTTACGTGATCATGCACTGCCCTGACTAGTGAAGAAAGTCTGAAAGATGCCTACTCTGTTCCATCTAATAGTAGATTCATATATGTATGCGTCACGTATGTGTGTATACTGATACTTTTCTTCGATTGTTTATCTAAGATTGTTAATTTTGGCGATAATTTGTAAAGATTAAAACCAATTTGTTGCCTTTAATTTAATTATTTCAACCATAATTAAACTCAAATTTAATTATAATGGTATTCTTAATGTAAATAAAATAAGAAAAATAAAGTTTTTAGAAAAGCTATGAAGTATTATTTATTCTATCCTTTTCTCTTTCCTTTTTTCCAATACTTAAATTCTTTTCATCCCATTATTAATTTTTGTCGATTTTCAAGATTTTTTATTTTTGCAATTTAACATCTCGAATTCTTGGAAGGACAATTCTTAGAAATGTAGAAAATTCCTGGAAATACCAAAAATTCTTGGAAATATTAAAATTCTTGGAATTTTAGATAGTGCTACCTCCCCGCCAATTATGTTCTCTTAATACTTTGTCGATTTACAAAACTTTTAATTTTTACTATTCAAAATTTTGAATTCTGTGATTCTTTCTGGAAATCTTAAAAAATTCTTGGAATTTTAAATAGTGCAATCATCTTGTTGCCGTTCATATTTTCCTGATATTTTATCGATTTTCGTGAATTTAGATTTTTGTGCAAAAATTTTTAAATTTAAATTTCTAGGAATTGCAATTTTTACAATTTCCGTTTATTTCTGTTGAGAATTGAGAATGATCACGTTATATCTAAGTGAGTTTCACACTTCCCGCCTATGTCCAGTGCTATGCTTGATGCTAATTAGTCGTAGATGACTTGAGAATCACCTAATACGAGAGCGTCCCGTTTGACAACAGCCAATCACAGCCCCCGGTGCCTAGAGCTTTTCCACTGGACCAGCCAATTAGAAATTCTTATTTTAAATCAGCCAATTGGCGATGTGGTCAATTGGGTCTCTCTCGATTTAGGGGGCCGGTTGTTCCAACCTATTGGTAAACTAACTAATAGTAAAATCATATATGTTTCTGCTTTTCTTTCAAATTAAATAAAGATAGACATATGGGTTAACTATTAGTTTACCAGTAGGTTGGAACAACTGGCCCTTATTGGGTGGATCCAGGAACGGCAGGAACACAATCGCTCACTGAGCTACATAACAAAAGAGTGTGATTGGTTCTTACCTTTGGATCCAACCAATCACAATTCACAATTAATTGCCACTTTAGTCGCAGTGAGAAATTGTGCGTTCTCTGTTGGTATGTACTTGATAGAGATGTCGATATCGAAAAAAAAATCGTGTTTGAATATATTTGTCAATTTTAAAAGTATAAATCATATCAACATTGAATCAACAGTTAACATATCGAATAAAATATCGAGAATAATCCTTATTTTTAATAAAAACTTAAAAAAAAATCTTTATTATAATACTTTTGTTTTTAATACAATGAAGATTGAGAAAGAAATATTTTATGATTGTAGTACGATCGACTATGATTAATCAATTTCTTATTGGCTGAGTTCAGGAGACACAACTGTTGAGTGAGCGCTCAGTGATTCTTTATTATGATTGGTTTTTACACTTACAATTAGATCCGGATAAGAACGAAAGGCAAGAACCAATCATATTAAAGAATTACTGAACGCTCACTCAACAGTTGGGTCTCCTGAACGCACCCATTGTTTAAGGCTTAAAATACCTATGTAAACCGGGACTTAAGTAGTAAGAAGTTGCATATATGTACATTAATGTTCTTATTTTAAATATAATAGTTCTTATTTTTTCTATTAAATTTTTTCATATCAAAATTGAAATAATATCGAATATCGATAAACATCTCTAGTGTACTTGGTGCAGCAGTTCATTAGGCCTAACTTTCTTGCACAGTTCATCTTTTCTTCTTTTCTCTCCAACATGAAAAGAAAAAGAGAAAAGATGAACCGTGTAAGAAGCTGAAACGAACAGGTCCATTGTAATCTTTGAATCTGAAGTAAGTAAGCCTGTTCGCTGGACTTGCATATATGATTCATATCTTCCCTTTTTTTCTTTTCACATTGGAGAGAAAAAGAGAAAAGATGAATTGTGCAAGAAGTTCAGCTAAAACGAACGCCTAGTGCAACAGTAAGGAAACCGATAAGCGGAAGATTTGAAAGTTTCTGTAATACTGGACCCCTAAAAGCTAAGACAGCAATATTCAGAATTAATAAGAATGCAAGTATGTAGAATATATAACGTAATATAGAACGTAGCGTGTATGTACATATATATATATAATAAGCAACTAATTTATTAATTAATATCTTCAGTATTTTATTAATACAGGTAAAATTACATTAATTTTTTATTGTTTGATACAAAGGAAAGAAAAATTAAATTAGGGACGATAAATTATGCAGTCACAAATTCTACTCAAATTTTGCCAATATTAAATTAATGACCTACATTTTAATAAGTTAATTGAAATTTGGTCAAAGTTATTTCAATTTTTTTCACGCAGTTTTGAATAAAACAGCGTAGTTTCTTTAACTTTCAAAACTCAGATAATTCTCACTCGTAACGCCATAAAAACTCAGTTAATTGAATGCACGTTTTTTTTTGGCATGCTGATAATAAGTGAGATTCAACTGAGTTTTTATCCACAATCGATCGAGACCGATGTGCTTTAATGAATCTGATAGACTCGCATAAAAAGTGAGGCTATAAACCTGATGTATTGTTACGCGCGATAGCTTTATCACCAAAATAAGCATCAGGTACTTAAGTACAAAATAACATATCTTACCTGAGTATAAAATACTCACACAACTGAGTGACTCATTGTCAGATCACTTGAGTGTAAATGTGAAGCAATTTTTTGGGGAAAAACGAGATAAAGTAAAGAGAGAGAAAAAGGGAGAGCATCTCACTTCAAATAGGGCTATACATCTGGATAGACCTTTATACGTCGCCGCTCATGTGAATCCTCAATATTCGGAAACGTCCGGCCCGCCATTCTGCCGTCCCACTTACCCCCTCCCGCTCCTCGCCCAACTTGCGACTTGGTTCATCTCGGTTTCCATTCCGGTTTCCCAGTTCGTGTTTGTTGCCCGTGAAGGATGCCTTCTGCCAACCCCAAACTAGAAAAACAGGCCTCTACGGAGACCGTGGAACCGTTACGCCAAGTGATCGTCGTAATCGAGCACAAGATACGGAATCTCGAGAAGCGTAAGGTAAACGCAACGTCGCGGCCGTTCGGGCCATAATTACAGACAAAAGTCGATCTGTCAGTCGCCGTGGCTTTCCTCAACGCGGTCCGCCATGATCCCCCCCCTCGATGCCATGTGCTCGCGCCTTGATTTTTCGGCAATACGTGCGACGCGCATCGCGATCGTTTCGCTCGCCTAACCGCTCGAATCGAGCGTCTGATTCGCGATTCGCGACAACGCGCGGCCTGACGATTTCGCATTTTTCGGGGCTCCGGACGCGCCGACTTGGTCGCCAACCTCGTATCATGGCGGTGTACGGTCGTGCGTGCACGAGACCCTTTATTCGTGGCCACGACGCCACGCGCTTTTCAACGCCCTTGGCGGGACGCGACGCCGCCACGTGTCCGACGCCGACGTCCACCGAACATTCCGACTCGCGTCGGAATACTCGGAATCATCCTGCTCGACGCGGAGCCCCCGCGATCGGCGTTCGGCATTTCCCGGTTCTCCACTTTGATCGCGGCTAACGTACGTCGACGCTGCTTTGTCGCGCGATTTTGCCGTGTGTGCGTACGTGCGTGTGTTGTCCGAGTATTTCTTTTATCTCAGAAACGAGAATGTTCCGTGAAGCGTCGAATGTCCCAGCTACTTTGATGTATACCTATGTCCAAACTTTTACTTTCATATATTGCGTTGCTGATTTATAACCGTGCTTCACTTCGACAATACAAATATATTGTTTTTTTCATGATTTTTAATATAATGTTGTGTATATGGGATAATTAGTTTCGATTACTTTGAAAGAAATCAAACGGATCCTCCACATATATATCTCTTTAATTTAGGGCAAGCTCGAGTCGTATAGAGATTTGCAGAAGAATGGAAGGGAATTGAATTCCGACCAGAAGATAGCGGTGGCGAAATATGACGAGGTGCTCCAAACGTTGGACAATACGCGGGACTTGTATAAACAAATCGTCACCATTTCCAACGATGCGGTTAAACAGCAGAAGAAATTGGCACGGAGAGAGGCTCTTGAGCGAACGCAACAAGACATTGCAAAAGTATGATTTATAAATAAAATTACACGTTATTGCATATATATTGTAGGCGTGAGTTTGAGAAAATGTGTTGTTCGTAGGTGAAGGATGTGCTACTTGCTCAGCATGTCTTGGCAAGCATAAACACCGAGTCTGTTAGAGACGACTTCTTTAATGGAAAGAATGGGGCTGTACAACTGTCGGAGGAGGAATTCAAGTACCTAGACAGTTTGTACAATGAGATGATGATAAAACATCAGCGTGAGGAAGGTGATCTGACATTTGTTCAACAAGCACAAAAAGTAGCGGAGCATTACGTTGCGATTGTGGATGGGAAGCAACGTGAGGTTTTCGGCACTACTTATAATAAATTGAAGGAGATAATCGCAAAGATCAATCAATGCGGCTATTTCGATCAAGTTCACGAATGTTCGGAGGCAGCACCGATAGAAGAGGTATTTAATCAGGATATATTGGAATCTATAATCTCATGTGTAATCTGATGTATAATCGGTTTATATTTGTACAGATTACCGAAACTGTGGTGGAGACAAACATTACTAGTGCGCAAGCGGCACAGGAACCGGTCAACGAGGAGTACAGCAACGGCAATGACAGGCACATTCCACCGGAATCGATGATACCTATTCCAAATTTTCCAGTCCAAGTTGCTACGCTTCCCGTTGTTTCCGGGGCCGCTCCAGTCTCGGGGCCCATACCGGTTGTCCCGCAACCCATGCCGCCTCATCCAGCCGCGCCAGTCGACGCTCCTTATTACACGAACGCCACTAGCTTTGTTCCGCAACCGCAGCAGCCACAGCAGCAGCAGCAACAACAACAGCAGCAAGCTCAGCAATCTCAACAGCAGCCTCCACCGACACCTCGTATCAATGACGTCATAGGCACGCCCAACTTCTTTTTCTTGCAGGAATCTGAACTTGATCCACAGGAGTCGCAAGCACCTATCGTAACACACATTCCTCCCACAGTCAATGCGCCCATTCCCTCGCAAACCTTCACAAATCAGAACTTTACAAATGCGCCTGTGGGTGTACCTCAGCAGGTCATATATCAACCGCCGCAGGATATATCGCACATTCCTGGTTTCGCGAATCCTAATCCACCGCCGCCTATTCCGATGCCGCCTTCTCATCAGCAGCCGAATATGCAGTATAGCCCGCAACACCCGACTAGTTTTCAGCCTCAACAGCCCCAGCAGCAACAGAATGCTGCACAATTACCGCAGCAAGGTCCAATGCAAAACTTCAATGAGCAAACGCATCAGCAAGAAACTCAAACGGAGGTAATATTTTGGTCCAACATTAATAAATGATTTGTATCGTGTACTTTCGGTAACTCATGGATTTTTTTTCTTTCCAGGAAAAGGTTGAAAATGGTCAAAACGAAATTTCTGACTCATCTTTGGAACAGCAAAATGAATCTATCGATTGGTGTCAGATGACCGAGACCAATGATTGGAATCAGCCCGATCAACAGCAACAATCCGTTCAAGATTGCCAGCAAGCGTCGCAACAAACCCAGCAACCTTGGGTGCCTGACCAACGTGGTGGATATAGAGGAAGGGGAGGCAGAAGAGGGACCGCTAATAGCTATAATAGCAGAGGCAGGGGAAATTATCAGCAAAATGGACGCACAGGACAAGGTAAAAAAAATCACTATTTTAATACAAAGTGATCAAGTTGTCCTTTAAAACTTTTCCATAAAATATTTTCTTTCAATATTTGTTAATAAATCCTTTAATTCCGAAGGCTAAAAGATATATCGTTAATTTTTCTTCTAGGCACGTACTATCGCAATGATAATAACTATCAAAACGGATATCAGCAGCGTGCTTGGGGTAATAACGAAGGGAATAACGGATATAATAGCGGCTTCAAGCGAGGCAGTGGCGGAGGATCAAGAGGTACGCGCAACGATCGCGTTGGTCGCGGACAATTTAGAGGACAAAGGGGAAGCAATCGTGGTGGATATGCACCACGTGGCAAGCCCCACACGCAATAAAGGAGAAAGAAGGAACGCTATAGCTAGCGTAAATGCACAGTAAAACACACTGTAATGATGCTCTGCGATTACAATTCAACTGTCTATTTATGAAAAAGCTTAAGTCGAAACAATGCATTTGCGATATGAGATGGAACTTCAACGAGTAGGTACCGTGCAGTATTGCATGCTTAAAAATATTATACACGATAATAACTTTGATATTAAAGAGATTAATTACGTGGATTAAGTAAAATGTTAGTTTTTTAAATGCAGATTTAACTGCATTGGTTTTTTTTTTACCTATCGCGTATTCACATATGTATTAGGTATCTTTGAGAAGATAAAGTTTATTAGTATATGCAAAATATAATGTTGCATCTGATGTGTGTCATACAAAGTTATGTGTGACATGAAAGAAAATTCGAAAAATCTTGCGTTGGCATTTGCGAGGACTTGCGGCTTAGGATATTTCTTAAATATGACATTGAACAAATGAAACTTTGCATTTGAATTTGGTGTTTGTAATTATGAGGAGAAAATTAAAGTTAATAAAAAAAGATGCAGAGGTAACATTGTGATATATGAAGAAAAATCACTAAATTAAGAAGTGTGAACCTACCGTGCAAGTATTATTGTATTATGACAGAAGGCAGGTTTCACAGGGCAACAACAGCTGATTAACAAAGATTAGAAAAATAATTTTATTATAAAAAAAATACAAAAAAATGAGAACTCATACAAACATTTCATGTAAAGACTACACAAGAACGTATTTAAAAATAACGTTAAGATGATTATAAGTATATAATAGGCGATCTGCACGACCATCTCTTTGTCTTGCGCATCATTTAAAAAGGAATTTTCTAAGATTCCAGAAAGAAGAGGATATGAGCCATGCCTTCTAAACTGCTAAGGATATTTTTGTCTGAATTTGAGACGTAAACGTGAATCAAAATTAATTGAGTAAACAGTAATTTGCGAGCTGTAAGTGATTCACGATATATAAAAATCTATAAAAGGCGTTTTTTTTTTTTTCATATGAAGGATATGTCGTGAACATGTGCGCTTCAAATTGCTATCGCTCCTTCTCCTATTTTTTCTGGATGATTCCAAAATTCTTCATGATCGCGCCCACATAGCCACGGGCTAAGCGAAAGAGATTGCGGTGCAATGTCTTCGTTTACGATGTAATGCATTACCTGATTTTTTTTTGTATTACGAAAAGGGAAGAAACATATGATTATTTTTAAAACGGAAAAAGCGATTAGTGTGCGAGGCTTTAGCGTATAAGTCGAGTTTATTGTACAATTATTAACTAGATCCAGGGGAAGAAGGAGAGAGAGAGAAAAAAAGATGATATGTTTCTTATACTGCGCCGCCAATAAGCCACGCACCACACTGAAAAGTACTGTTTATTGTATTTCGTTTGTACATTTGTGTTTAATCACTATCCACCCCCAACCTCCCCTATCTCGATTACGTTAAACTATCCTATGAATACCTGTGTATCTTCCAAATAAAGATCTAATTCAGCCACACTAATCGGCTTATTTATTCCCAAAATTATGACCATTTTATTTTTTACATCTAATAAAATTAGCTGATACTCAATACGTTTTTATATAATTATTATTACTATTTGTTAGCTGAAATGTTACATTTACTCAACGTTTACTATTACTATTATGTTTACTATTAACAGTATTGATAGCGTATAGATTAATATTATTTTTCCAAAGATATGCGTTTGATGTAGAATAATCATGTTTATATTACACGCGCTACGCTCAATATGATATGCAGAGAAGATGTATGTGTGTGTGTATGCATGTTAAATGTCTATCTTGCACTTATTGGGTCATCCGCCTCGATTGCACCGTAGTACATTAACTGATAACACGTATATGTACACGGCTGGCGGCTGGTTATACACAACCATTCGTATCGTGTGTGTGTGTGTATGTACACTTTGGTTGACGTATGCACGAAATGCAGATAGTATATACATAATATATGAGCACATATAAAAATTTGCATGCGTAACGTTAACGTGGATCAGCATAAATGTTTGAAAAATGTTGGAGAATTGTAATCTACCGCGATTAAAGTATAGTTTTGGTGCAACAGCTACAACGGTTCGTAGGTTAAACTCGCAATCAGTTTCAGTGCGTTGACAATTCATCGTACAACTGTACTTTCTCTAAAATAATAGTTCTGCAATCGACATCAATAGCTAAACTACAAGATGCTGCTGCGAAGATTATATCGTGTTACAAACTCCAGTAGAATTCTTCAAAGAGCAGTTCAATATAAAAATACTTATCCAGCACGTAAGGTATGGGGACACAATTGTCAAAATATGGTATAGCAATAGCTGTATTATTTTAAGTATCAATAAGTCAAGATAATTTTTTTCCAGACGGGAGATAGTATGCAAATTATCAGGAAGATAACAATAATGTCGCCATTCACTGTAATGGGAATAGGGATTGTGAAAAACAACGACGAGGACAAAGCCCAAGTTACAACAGAAGAACTTCTTACTAAAGCAGATACGCTTTTTGATCGGGGAGATTATAGAAGTTTATACGATCTTTTGTCAAGATATAAGGTAAATCAAATTATCTAAAATATATATATACATATAACACATATCTATATATTCACTTATATACATAAAGCTGTGCAGCTATACATAACTCTAATATATCTTTTGTAGGATAATAAGGATGTTGAAATCTTGTGGCGTTTAAGTAGAGCTATTTATAAAATGTTTGAAATGGCTAGTGACATTGAAGCACGAAAGTTAACTTATGAAGGATACGATGTGTTACGTACGGCTCTTGACATTCAAGAAGATCACTATGCAGTACACAAATGGATGTCTGCGTTTCTTCATTATAAGAGTCTCCTGGAAGGTACAAAAGCACAAATAAAAGAATCGTACAATATCAAGAAACATATCCTGGTAAGATATTTGGCAAATAATTAATCTGATTATGGATTTTAATTCGCAATTAAAGTAATGATATATTATATTTTATAAATAACGTAAAAGTGTGTGTGAAAATGATCTCACAAATTATTACGGCAATGATTGTATATAGAATCATCTCAAATCATTGTTATTTTTATAATTTATATTGTAGAGAGCGTTGGAATTAAAACCTGATGACGCAATGCTGTTTTACCAGCTCGGATGCTGGTGCTACGAGGTTTCGAATTTGACATGGTATCAACGAAAATTAGCATCCTTCATATTTGGGGAACCACCAACTTCGTCCTTTGAAGAAGCGTTGATGTATTACGAGAAAGCCGAGAAGGCTGATCCAAATTTTTACAGTCGCAATTTACTAATGTTAGGAAAGACATATTTGAAATTGAATCGTAAGGAAGATGCGAAAAAGTATTTGAAAAAAGCAGCTGAATTTCCGGCGAGGGATGACGAAGATCAGAAGGCAAGGCAGGAAGCACAAAAAATATTAAATAGTATGTAAAGACGATGCGGATAAATATCTTTATAAACTACATTCTCTTATGTGAGATAAAATTATATATTTGATTGTTTTAACATTTTTGTTATTTAAGAAATAATTTTAGCATAATATTGCGATACTATAATGTTAAAATGCTACCATGACAGTAATAATATAATTGACATATTTATCCATATGTACTGTATTCATATATACATTTATATGTACATATATGTTTAAAGTATTTTTTACGCAGGGACCACATATGATATATGTATATTGTATATGTATACAAATATATGAAAAGTTAATAAATGTGATGGGCCAACGATTATATCACGATTATATTATATTTATTCTACTCATTCATATTTATTCATCACATTCTTCAAGTGCAACTCAACTACGTCGTATCGCTCGGTAACCGCACATGGTTTGCGTCCGTGCTAATGGTTCGTGTCCGAACTAGCCAGCTGGAGGGGATATTCTGGCCGCGGCGGCCGCGCTCGACCGCTAATGATCACTACGTGTTCGCGATATATAACACGCGTTTCGAGAGACAGCTACGTCGATCAGACACCACCGAGACAGAACGTAGAGAATACAGCCAGTTAAACCTGTGAAAGTTAACGAAAAATTCGGCATACGTTGATCTCTTATTGTTCGTTGAAAGTTTTCGGTATTTTTGAACCGGCCGCGGCCGCGCGCGTCGTGCCGCTGGAGGGGTAGGCCGTGACGTCATGCGGCGGATCGATACGGTGACGGTGACGTAGTCATCATTCGCGCAGCGAGGCTCGAGCGAGACAGGCATATAGCGGTGCGTAGGTGTCGCGTTATTACTTTATTACTTTTCGGGACTCGATCACGGCAAGTAGCAAGAGACACGAGACACTGGTCATTCGATCTACAAACGATCAGTGATTGCATGCCCGCACGATCGATCAATTACCGTAATTAACGACTCGTAAATCATCGGAGGCGGCGCCGCGGCGGTAGTTCGTTGGCACTCGCGGCGAGGTAGATAACCGGCGCAATTAATTTACTCGAAAGAGAGATTCAAAGTCGTAGATAACGGGAAATACAAATGGCTATTTCGTCGCGATGCTCACGGGTGATAATTATTTCATTGGCGGCGCTTGGATTCTCGAGATTTTATATCCGCGTCCGCGTCGTACTTTCAGGTTTCGATGTAGACGTGACTTGTGCGATTCAAATGCGCGGAGTAATACACGGCCCGCCGAAACGGCGCGGCGGCGCTCGAGTAACTCATCGGAAAATTGCGATATATCCGTGATACGATCGTTTATTCAATATAATATGTATATCGCGTGGGAAATACGCGTTTGAGAAATATCGCGAGTGCAATATTGGGATCCGTTTGCGTATTTTCAGACGATTTATCGCAACTTATTTAATCGTTCAGTGCGATTCATATATTTCGTTCCGCACGTAAAGTTGGCAGCCATTTTGACGATGCGACTTCGCGAACGGACTCCGAGCTCCGAGTCGAGCAGCGTCGCAGCGCGTTTAATTTAGTAATTAACGTTATAACGAGCCACGTAATTCGATATTCGTCAAATGGACAGCGTAAATTCGACGTTCGTACAAGAGATGAATAGTGAAGACGCGTATCTGGAGAGAGTTATTCGATCGAAATCTATCGCTCGGGCAGTTATGGGTTATGGGCAAATCGCAGGTACGCATCTTTCGTACGCATAATGGTACTTTTCTCGTGTTATTTTTTCCGTCGCTATATGATAAAATACATAATTGTGTACAGGAATATAATAAAGTGCGTGCGTGCGTGCGAATAACGTCGCGATTAACGGAAGTGCCGTACAAAGTGCCGCACGATTGCTGCATTCTAATGACTCTTACGCGCGTGATAATTAATTAGCGTATTTTCGTGAGGCAGGTGTTTCGTGAGTGCAACAACGAGGAAACGAGAGGAGGAGGAGGAGGAGGCCAGGGAGGCATCGGGCGACAGCGGAGCAACCATGAGGTGAGCATCTCCTAATTTATTTTATATATTTATTATTTGTATAGGATTAATTATTGCATAGTACTGTTCTATATTATTATTGTGCATAATGTGTGTAACATATTTAAGATTTAATTTTGGGAAATAGTCAAAACATTGAATAGAATATTTGTAAAATATTTGTTTAATAATTGATGAAGACATACGTGAAATATTTCGACACGTTTAAAATTTATAACTGTTTGGATTAGATAAAAATTAAATTTTTATTATTAAAATTTTATTTGTAAAATATATGTAATATAACATGTATAAAATTTTATAAAAGTTAATATTTAACAGAACGTTTTATCGAAAATTATGTATTATTAATTACGTTGCAAAATACTTTAATTTAGATATATTTGTATTTTACAGATTCGCGTCTTGTATACTACAACTCCGCTGCTGCGCATCATACCGGTGAGTTTTATAAATTATTTTTATTTTAATCTTGAGGTAATGGATTTGTAAATATATTGCATATACGTATAACAGGTTTTTTTTTCGATAATTATTAGTATGCAAAAGGATCATATTAAATTATATAACAAATAATTTAAATTGAACAAGTAGCAGCAATGAAATATTCTAGTATTTATATCCTTTTTATTTATTATTGTAAACTGCTTCATATCTAAATTTTATGATTATTTCTGGTTGTATTACAACTGTTAAAAAAGAAAAAAATTTAAATTAAGAATATAAAAATATTATACAGATAGATATAATGTTTTATAAATCTGTTACCTTAATGGATGAGCTAGGATACATTATTATAAATATGTAACTCTGGAATATATAAAGTATAAATTCGATTTATTGAATTCTCTGTATAATTGCCAAATATATACGATTTTCGAGAGATTAAGAACACCATGAAAATATAATACATTAATAATTTTATTTAGCTAATATATAGTGTCTCAGATATATTATAATAAAATTATTTTTTGAATTTAATACTGAGGTACCTAATTAATGAAAAATTATGAAAAAGAAAAGGACGTAAAAAAAGAACTCTCTTTAATAGATAAAATATTAACATTTTAAAAACATGAAACTTCTATTTGAATCTCTTCATGGTGTTCGTGACAGCATGATTCACGATAATGACGAAGACTGGAACAAGATATTTCTGTATTTATGAGATTCATTGCATCGTAACGCGTCTGTGGCCCGAAAACGTGTTCTCTTGTACATGTAGAATACGATGCACTAAACATTCACGAAGACATCTTGCGATAGAATGCGATATGGGTGGATTCTGGACAGGTTGATAGTACATAATAGATGCTAATTGTTGAACATTTGCGCCGTGGTGAATTTATGGCATGTCCCCGGATTCGCCACGATGCACAATAAGATAGTGACTTTGCGTGTCGTTTGAGCTCGCGTAGGTGCTACTTTATGTTTCCTCTTCTATAAACAGCTCCTCATTTCTTCCGTAACTTTGCTTTATTGCAAAATTTTTCGCTATCCGATGGCCCAATTTAAAGAATGGCGATATAACACTTGGTTCAATAACAACGACAATGGAAAACAATTAGTCTGTCAAGAAGCTCGAGATTTATTACAGTAATATCCGGTTAATTTTTTAGCTAATTTTTTTTTCTTAGGAAGTACTAAAATATAACTAATTATTATTCTATAACAGAGAACGTATTATTTAAGCTTATAATTAATTAATGCATCTACAAGTCACAAAATTATTTGCATGCCTAATATTCATGAAAAAATAACTTCTTTTAATCTATTCAGAAAGCGATATATGAGTTGCAATATAAATCGGTCGTTATTGAATATAGAATAATTGCTATAAATTAAACGGTAAATCCTGTTTGCGTGAGTAACATTAAAGTGTTTTACCCTTATATAGATATAGTTTGAGAGTTTATTTCTTTACTGGTTATAACCAACGAATTATAACGATCAAACGAATAATCGCGGCAAACTCATTTGCAACATTTATTTCGGTCGGATAATTTTAACGTCGCGAAGAGCAATACAAAGATCGTAGATTAATTTAGTTTCCACAGTTTTGATCGTTTGTGAAGGAAATGACTATAATTAGGGTTAAGTACTGGTTTATATTGTACAATGTTACTACAACAATTTTCCGCGCGTGACTCATTCATTACGAGATTAATGTGCTTGATAGTTTATTGGCGTGCCATTTTACATTGTACGCCGTAACCGTAAATTTATTATTATGTAACAAGTTTTTCGCTAGATTAACAGATAGATAAATTAAGATACCCTTCTCTCTTTTTTCTTTTGGAATGTTTTGTATATCTTACCTTGAATTGTTTTGAAGTCGGTAGAACGAAACCGATAAGCACAATTTATTACCCTTTTTCCTCGTGAAAAATGTGAAACACAAATTGGATATAAGATAAACTGTTATCTGAAAACCATAAAAGTAATTGCATGAAATTGGTGGTTTTCAGGAATCGCAGTATACGAGCGATACTCGACTCAAGAAGTTTCTTATACAGAAGATATTTTTAGTCGATATGTGTTAGGAACTTTATCATACTATTTGCCATCTCACACAAAAATATTTCTTACATATTAAGTTATTTCATTATCTTTATTGCTTAATCTCTGTATATCTGATTAAGCAATTAAGGAATAAATTTAACTTTTGTTGTGCACACAGGGGTCAAATAGACCCCAGCGTTTTTTCAAACGCGTTTTTCTAATACGTACAATACGTACAAATATTAAAAATTGAATTTTTTATGCATTTTTTAGTGAAAAAAGTCCATTTTTCGGCTTCTTTAGTTAACATATCATTTATAATTCTTTTATGTTGCAAGATATTAATGAAACCTATTAGACCTAATTTGGAAGCTTTGAACAATAGCCAGCAATTTTGTTTGAGTCAAAATAACGAATTGTACGTCTGTAATAAACAATTAAGTGACTGGGGTCTAATAGACCCCCTGTGCACAATACGTAATTTTGAAGAGGTGTGCACAACAAAGGTTAATAGATACAATATTGATATAAATACAAATGTGAATAATAAATCTGCAATCTAGTAGATCGTCATAAATATTTTTTGACAGAAGCTAAGATCAGTGCTTATGGCTAAAATATCATTACGTTTTGTGCATACAATACACATTTCAAATGTCTGTATCAATATTGATATTGTAATTGATATTAATGCAGTCGCATCTATCTCAGTTAC